GACACCTAAACTGTTTGTTTTAATCTCTTACAATCAGGCACCACATTGAGTGCCAGTGCCCACAGGCTCAGGGAACCCTATAACAAGGGTTTGCAACTGCCAGCTGTCTTCAAAAGGAAGGATTAAACATATTTTTTATTTTTATATCTAGTGATAAATATTCCAAAATCTAGTAATAAAATAAATAAATCAGCAATTTAGGTCCATATTAAAGCATTCACACTCCTCTACATCTAAACCAATAGCAGTTTACCTTGGGAAAGTAAGTTACAGGTGCTAACCAAACTGGACTGATATGAAATCCTTTAAAGCAGAGAAGTGAACAGACATTTTAAATTTAAAAAATCATGGTTTAGACAACACTACCTGTACCCTCTAGACCTCAGATTTACTTGCTATAGCAGTCATTAGTCACTTTCCACTGCCCAGATGACCCACACACATTCCCTGCAGAGCATAAAAATGAGATCAATTGAAAGAACTGGCTATCCAAAGGGATTTTCCAGAACACATTTTCTCTGGCTTCTTGTTTGTTAAATCTACTTCTGTTCTCCAGAGACCCAAACGAGAAAAACAACAGCAGATTAGCTTTTATTATTCTGGCTGATATCTGAAGTAATGGCCCAAGACAGTCAGCAGAATTATAAAGCAGTGAGTGGCTCACCTCCAAGCACTGGAATTAATCCTAGGATCCTGACAGCTCCTCATTATGAGGTCCAGTGGCCTCCAAAAAGATGACTCAGGCTGTGAGCCAGGAAGCACTGAGTCATGAAGCACATCATCATCATCATCAGTGTAAGGGCCTGGGCTGCCAGCACAGCCCCTCGTGTGCCCCTGTGCCAGCACCCGCTCTCTCAGCAGCAGGCACCACACACATATCTATTGCAATCAGCAGAGCTTCACAAGCTTCTGTTAGCTTCAGGTGACTCTGCAGCAGGACCCTAAGATGAGATGGTAACAAACAGCACACACCTGTCCTTGCAGCCTGTTCTCCAGAGGGGATGCAAGGCTGCTCCCTGAGGAGAGGCAAACCCAGTCATAACAGGAGGTGCCACACATTGCCTGAATCTTAGATGTGATTCTGCTGTCATCTTCCAAAGGACAGTCACTCAGGGCTGGCCAAAACCCTCCAATGAAGCCATCTCGTTCATATAGATGATCACCATCCCTCACTGGCTGCTAGAACCTCAACCCAAGACCTGGACACCTGCGGGATGCTCGAGCTCCCTCGGCAGCCACGGCAGGAGGGGAGATCTGGACATGGAGTGATGCTGGGGAATGTGAGCCTTGTGCTCAGCCCATTGAAACCAGAAACTGCATCTCATGTTTCCCCAGCTGCAGCTCCAAACTGAGGAGCTTCCAAAAGTTCAGCTGTGTTCTCGTGGGGCACAAAGTGTCAGCACTTGAGCCTGTTCTAGCAGCGCTCATGGGCTTTTTTCACAAGGGTTTGCTTCTCCTGCTGAACCTACCTCAGCTACCGCCAACTTACTGCTGCATGGAAAGGGAAACAACATGAAACAAAGTAACCCTGCAAAACCATTTTAAAAGAAAAAGCACTACTCTGAGACTGATGCAAAAATCTATTGCAAGAGACCACCACAGAAGAGAGACCTTGACTCGAGCTCCAGAGCAAGAATGCTTCAAATTACCAACCATCCCATCACAGCAAAAACAGTGTTTTCATCTCTATCTTGCAAGTAATTGACCACATTTTTGGAGACATCTGAGATGGATGTGCAGTTTGTACCTACCTTCTCTGTTTCTGTTACCATCACCTGGCTGTTATCCTGGGTATTATCCTCCTCACCTGCAGCATGACCAAGAACCATACAATCACTAAACAGCATCAGGCAGTTTATAAGCATTGTGCCAGCTCAGAGCAGTTCTGACAGTTAAGGAATAACTACAGTGTAAACATGAACTGTACTCTCTCAAAGGCAGGAAGACAGATCTTGAGATGATAAAGCATCTGGGAGAGGAAGAGTGGAGAAAAGCAAACAAATCTCTACAAAGAACTTTGAATAGAAGGCTGTTGGGTTTTTTTGTACCCTCTCATTCAGGCTATCAGTTTCAGGAGCAAAAGTCCACCAGGAGATTAGAGATAAGCAAAGCTCCACTTTTCAAATATATGTAGCCTTTATTTGTCCACTCACAGAACACCAGCTTCAGGCAGTATATTTGTGTTTTTAAGAGCACAGCTCGAGGATTTCCTACAAAGTGCCAGGAAAAGATACCTTTTAGCTGTTCCAGAAATAAATTTTTGGTGAAACAAATTAATAATAGAAAGCAGTACATAAAAGAAACTAGTATTAGCCCTAGACAGAATAATTACAAGAAGTTGCTTTCTTGTCTTCCGTAGTAATAAACCCAGACAGGTTCTCCACTAAAAGCCATAGATTCAATGTCTAGTCCAAGCCAGGATGTAAACCCAGTTGATGTGTTGGACTGGCACCATTCTGTATCATCCACAGACACCAGAGTTTGCATTTGAGGTACTAAAAAGTGATTCTAAATGATCTGGTAACCAAGGAGCATCAAGAACATGGGCTAGGTGACTGATTCAATATTTAAGAATTGCACATAGCCACAGCTGTCACATCTAAGTGTTTCACTCCTTGTCTAATCTCATGGCAACTCCTGTGGGGCAGGCAGGACTGATTTACAAAGATTCAGAAACACAGCCACTCCTGCTGCTGCTGGCCACTGTAATCAGGCCTTGTGGCTTTTAAATTTTTTTTAAACACACACTTCATGCTCAGGTTATACATAAACATGATGAATCGCGAGCAGCACTCCTGGCACAAATGTGTGCAGTAATTAAAAGCCTCCTCCTTCCAGAGTTAGAGCTGTTCTGTCTTTTTACCCCTTTGAGACACCCTCTCTCCTCTCCGTGCAGCATGGCACCTTCCCTACCAGGTGTGTCCATCCCCCCCAAACTGCCACCAGCCCTCAGCTGCCTCTCCCCAGGGTTTCTCCAGCTGGGCCACCCTGGCACAGGATCCAGCCCACGGCAGATGTGGGGGCCTGAGAGCTGGCACTGAAGGAACAGGGGATGTCCGGGAGACCTGGAGCTGTGGCAGTCACAGCATCCAGTAAGCCATTCACATCTTCTTCACTGCATGCAAAATGCTCTGGTTTTACAGGTATAACCTAGCGGTTGTCCTGGAGACCTGGAGCTGTGGCAGTCCCAGCATCCAGTAAGCCATCTTCTTCACTGCATGCAAAATGCTCTGGTTTTACAGGTATAACCTAGCGGTTGTCCAAAAGCTTACAAAAGCTTACCTGAGAATTTTTAGGACAGTTGTGACAGTAAAGACAAAGCAGTGTGGAAGTTACTTCCCTATAGAAATCAGTTGTGCTGATGACAAGGACTTTGAAACTCCCAAGTTTCAGGAAGGGATGGATGACCACAGAGCCACACAAGGCTCCAGGAGGAAGATGCAGGAGCAGCACTTTAGCACCTTTCTGCAAACATCCGCAGCTGCTAACAAGAAAATGCCACTGTCCATAGAGTATTCATGGCCAAGGAATTATCTATGTAAATGAGATTCCTAAACCTGTTTACTTGCAGATACATCAGGGTAACCCCAGGTCATTTAGCAACAAAGCAGGGGCTCTGAGCCTCAGCCTAAGGGAGATCCAAATTCACTTTTCACATTTCTTATCAGGTTACAGAAGATGTTCCTTGTAAAAACAGACTTTTCATTTCCAGTTTCGATAAAAAGGAACAGAGAGAGCCTGTCTTAATAATTCTAGCACTTCATTGAAACACTGTTCAATCTGTTACTCCCATCTCCATATTGGGGGTGTTTGAACCCAACTTTGATGTTTCAGAAGTGAGTTTCATAATTCTGTGGAAACCAACCCTTCTGCTTCTATCTCCAGGTTTCATGAAGTCTTACCCAGAACACATTCACCCTTCACATAAAGGTAATTGTGCCTTGCTTCATGAAACCCAAAACAATTGCTCAAGGTGAACAGCTGCATTCATGGAGCATTAACTTGGACAGGATTTTAGTATCAACACAGCTACGTTAACTAAGTCACTGTTCAAAAGAAGCAGTGACAATAAATCTTTTAGTGAATTATCTGCATAGTTTACCCAAAATAGAGCTTACTGTAGTTCAGAAGTGAACTACATCTAACTGAGAAAGAGTCAGGCAGCAGCTAAGGAAGAATAGAAGGTGCTTGAAATGGGATTCTGAGCACTGGATGTGGAACAGGGAAGAGTAAAATAGCATGGAAGAGAAGGAGTGGTAGAGTTGTGACATTCACAACTGGTCCATGTTTATGTTGCAGGTAGAATTTGAGAGCCCATTATCACACCTGCTTTCCAAAAGGCACCACAAAGCGATCGGCTAATGAATTCAAGTCATTACAGTAAGAGAAAAAGCAGGTCGCCCGACCTGTACACATGGGTTGCATCATACCTTTCCCCGTTCCCTTCTGATAGGCAGGGAATTACAGACTGTGCCGGGAAACGCCGCCACCTGCCCGGCCGGCGGGGAGCGCTGCCGGTGCCCATCGGCACCGGGCTGCAGCAGCAGCAGCAGCGGCAGGGCTGAGCCGCTCGGGGCGGGCACGGTGGGCCCGGCTGCGGGCAGGGGCCGGGCACAGCAGCACGGCGGCAGGTGCGCCCCACGGAGCCAGAGCCGGAGCAGCAGAGCTGCTGCTGCCCAGCGCATCCCGGGCCGACACTGCCGTGCCCCCCAGACCCTTCCGCAGGCAGCTCCCGCTCGCACCGACCGCCCCATCCCGGGGCCGTCAGCGATGGGGGAGCGCTGAGAACCCAGAGACGCGTCCCCGGCGGGGCCGGGATGCAGCCGGGCTGCGGCAGCGCGCAGCGCTCCCCGCTCGCAGCCCCAACCCTTCCTCCCTCCTCCCATCCCGCAGGCTGCGGGATGCGGCGGGATGCGGGGGGACCCTCCCGGGGCGTCCCTGCGCGCACAGTGCCGGGGGCGCTGTGCTGAGTCACGGCCGGGCCCCCATCCCGCACTCACCTGCGGGCCGCGGCCGCTCCGCGCCCCGCCGGGGGCAGCGCGGCCGGAGCCGGGCGGGCAGCGCGCCGCGCCCGCTCCATTGCAGGCTCCGCGCTCCCGGAACCCCTCCGCGGGGTCGCCGCTGCCGCCGCTCTCCTCCCCGGCGGGGCGCCCCTCCCGCACAGGTGCCATGGCCCCGCCCCTCCCGCACAGGTGCCATGGCCCCGCCCCTCCCGCACAGGTGCGCTGCCCCGCCCGGAGCGCCCCTTGCCGGCCGGGCCCTGCGCTGCCCCTCCCCGGCTCCCAGCCCCGCGGTTCCCCCGGCGAGGACAGGACACGCAGCGTGTTCCTTTCTTCGGTGTTTTTCCTGCCATGGTCTTCCTGCCAGGTTCTTCCTGCTGCCTGCTTAACGTGGAGATAGAATGCCCTAAATCACACCAAATCTTTGGGGAAAACACTTAGGCGTGGGTGCCATGCTGCATGGGCTCATCTTCTGTCAATTTGTCTCACAGTGTAAAATACACCCTGAGCTGTCCCTAGTTTCATTTTGTCCGGTTTTGGAATCAGCTTTTATTTCTTTTCCCAAATACTTGCACACCTACATTGTGCATTGCATGCACACATACACCTATAAAGATACATCTCTAAATACTTTCTTCCTTAAATACAGCTATGGAGTTTCCTACACAAAAAGAGGAGTTAACTTTTAGAAGATGCCCCTTCAGTTCTGGGGAGCAAACCTTGCCACAGGTGATCCCTACTGATTCCTATTTTTGAAACATTTAGTGTCTTAGTTCCATCAATGCATTTTTTTTTCTTTTTAGCCTATTTCTATTCCCAGAATTATATTTTATACAAGGATTTCACAATCATCATTTGCTCAACATACACTCATTTAAAGTTTGTTACTTTTTTTTCATTCTCAAATACCCCAAATTATACAAGATTTCATCAAGGCTTTTTTTCCAAAGCACTTGGAAACCAAAGCCACGTTCCTTTGCTTTTTTAGCAAGTCATTGTGTCCCTGTTCCAGAGGCTGGGCTGCCTGTAGGAGATGCTCACTCCGGCACCATGAGTGCCACTGCTCTCAAGATGGCAGAGGGACAGCTCTTCATTATCCCATCCACAATCCAGGGCAGACTCCATAGATCTCATCTCATTTTTGCTGTGATTCATTTTCTTTTATCTTCTCCAAACGCAATCTTCTATCAGTAGAGGTTTGCCCAGCCATCATGCTTTCCTCACCTGGCCACGATGACAGGGCTCCCCTGTCAGCAGAACCAGCTCAGAGGGACTGAGGAGGGAGGCAGCCTCTGCAGGTTGTGTGTTTGTACTCTTTTACCTGGGGGAATTATTTATTGTTTGCCTCTGAGTTTGTTTTTTAATAGCTGTAAAATTTACTCGGTGCGCTCATAAGTACCTGGGCAATATTTGCCTTCTTTTTCCTGTTCCTTGGATATCTGAAAAATGCACAAAAATTTGTAAGATGTTAATTTGAAGAGTAAAATTACAGCCCTGATGGTGCAGCTGGGAGCCTTGCCACTGATGCCAGTGGGATAGGATCTCATCCAGGGACACAGTGGAAAGCAGGAATGAAAGTGCATGGCTGGGGCCAGCACCTGGTGGGTATTTTAAAACATCTCTTTGTCAACCACAAGTCAATATTTATCTGATCTGCCTACAGAGTTATGTCATTATAATAATTCCCAGGTATTAAAATAGAGCTCAGCATTCACAGCCAGCTTCTCCCTAATTCCTCTTCAGGTGCACATGTAGGTTAGTGGGAATGGGTCTCAGTGAGGATGTCAGCATCCAGCTGATGAGAATTCAGGTTTTGTTAATCAAACTCACTCTAAACTTAATAGAGAGAAAAAATAAGGGGGTAATTTCTACTTATTGTTAATTTTAATATGCCAGTGGCATCAATAGCACTGCAAAAGACTAGATGAGTAGGATTCTCAGAGTGTTTAAAAGAAGTAATTTATAAACTGTCCAGTAGCAAAAAAAAAAAAAAAAAGGCTTTTAGAGCTTTATCTAGTGAAACTGCCTCATCCAGAGCCAAAATATCTCACTAATAGCTGGTTAGTATTTAGCTACATTTTCACAAGGGAAGAAAATCACCCCTGGGCTGAGGAAAACCATGAAAGATGAGAATACAAAAGATAACTTTTGAGAAAGCTGAGAATAGTGCCTTGTGCTGAAGGCATTTCCTTAACAACAACGGGTGTCATTGTCATGATGGTGGGTAATTTTGCCTTCAGCATCAACAAAGTTAAGAGTGAAGTACAAGTTCCAGGGCTGGGGGTGGATGATGATGCTAACAGAGCACAGCTCGGTTCTCAGATGTCAGCCTGAGTTTGCAATCCTGACAGCCAGATAAGCCTTGTTTTCCCTCAAGCTGAGGGAGTGGGTCTGGAGGAGCAAAACACGAGCACAGGTTTTACTGTCACTCTACAGACAGCAGCCACATTTCACTGTGGAAGATCACACTGAGAGTTATTTCTGCTGAGCTCCTCTGAGGAGGCAGTGGCTTATGAGTTACAAACGCTACTGTCAGAACTGTGGTTTTCCAAACAAAAAGCACTGAAGTGACAGGAGCATGAACAAGCTGAAGCTGCTGCAGTAGGTGGAGAGCCAGTGCTTGATGAGATGTGTCTGGTAGCAGGGAGAGGCTTGGCAGTGTCTCTTGTACCTGGAGGGAGGCTGAGGATTTGGCAGGGCAGAGCGACAAACACCAGCACACTGTGGCCTGGGACCACTGAACCTGGCAGTGAGATCAGGGCTGTGCCACAGGGAGGGGTGGCACTCAGAAATCCTACAGAGATCCTTTGGCCATGAAGGGAAGACAGGAATCCCACCAACTCGTCAAGTACTACAGCGTTGTATTTAAACAGGTTTGAACAAATTTCCTCCTCAGATTCATCCCACGTGTTTTCATTTCCTCCGTCATTTTCTCAACTTACTTAGAGCCCAACTCCTAATTTCATCTTCCTTCACCATTTTCTGGCAATTTGCATTTTTTACTCTTTATTCTGAGAAAGAAACCATTAAAATGTGTATGCTTTAATACTACAAGTTACAAGCACTCTTTTTATAAGACTTTTGCTTTTTCATTATATTTAGTTGACAAGCTACTGAACATATTATTCTGGATCTGAGACTTTCAGTACTGAATGTCAGACCCAACCACCCACTAACCTTGCAGGCAACAAAATGGAGCTTTCTCAGATTAGCTGGAAGAACTGAAGATTTTGAAATATGGTGAAGAGATGAAAAAAAACTGTAAAAATTGCCCTTAGAAACCAACACATGAGAGACTATGGTTTCCACAGCACTTGAGTTTTTGCTTTTGATTTAATGCCTATCAAAGGTCAAACAAAATTCAGTTTGAAGAAATGTTTTTAGAGAAAAAAAATTGCAGGAAAGGTCAATAAAGAAAGAATCTGCACAGCTGTAATGGGTCTCAAGTCTGCACACTTTGTAGGCCTTTTCTGACTAAGAGAAAATGTTTTCTATGCCAATATCTTCATTCATTTAGCTGAGTGATACAGAAAGATTGGAACCTCTGATACCTCTGCAGCCTTTAATGCACTGAACACGCAGCAATTGTCATTGCACAGATGGTTGGAAAATGTAAAGCTGCAGCACACAGAGTGTGTTAAATACATCAGTCCTTTGGGCTCCAAACTGTTCACCAAGTCCTACAACTTAGACATGGAGGAAAATGGAACTGTAGACCCATTTGTTAATAATTCTCACATATTATTAAAATATCCTTATTTTATATATATGTGATTGTATTTTCAGTTTTAGAGAATGTAAGTACAAAAGCAAAGCAAAGTTTAGCACTTGGGAAGATGAAAGCAGCTCCAAAAACTGCAGGAAAGGGAATGTGCTGAAGCTGTTGCTGCTGTCTTGGGTAGAAATAATTAACTTTTCTGTTTGCAGTGTAAGTAACCAGATAATTCCATGTAATTGCTTATGATTTGCATTGCTTGAAATGGTATTGCTAATTTCCAGAGAAGATTAGCATGTTATTTAAATAATTATTCTGCACCATATCACTTGGACACTTCAATTGCACATATATCTACTGTGAAATTCCTAGAGGTGTTCACAATGTTTCTGGTTATTTGTAGGCTACCTTTGCTATTGCAGTGTTCTAGGAGACAACAGCAGAAGAAGAATTAATAATGTTGTAGTGAAATGTTGAACTTAACCCCTAAGAATCTTTAAAAACTTAACAATCATAAGAATTGACCTATCTGATTATCTTATTTAAAATGCCATATACCAGCTCTCTGGAAGAAAGAATCTGATTTTACCAACAACAATCTAGGCTTAAAATGGTAAAAACTTCTCTTTCTCTGTGCTGAGTGTGGCCTCAATGTAGTTGAAACTGTTGAAATGGTTTTTAGTGGTTTTTTTGCAGCAGCTCCCATGCTGCTGTCTGGTGATCCCTGCTTACAGCACTCGGTGCCTGCACTGAAGGGATGGCACAAAGACAAGGGAATCCAGCAGGTTCTGTAAATCACTGCTGCAAAAGGGCCTGGAAGGGTCTTTGCTAAGAGTGACCAGCTCCAGATCCTTACACCCAGCTCCCCTGGCAATGGTCAGGCTGTCAGTACAGCTTTGCTGAAGAGACAAGAGCACTGCTGGAAGGGCACAGCTGGGCAAACATCCTTTCCCTTTGCTTGCTCTGTTCTGAGACATCTCCTGGCATGGGCTCTTCCATGAATCCTCATTCAGCAAGTGTAAGAATGGAGACAAGAATGCAGTTCTCAAGTAATTATTATCAAATACAGGGTAATACCCTACTTTTGACAACTGCCTTTTCCTTCAAGAAAGCCATTATTCTGGAAAAGCCAGTTGTGGTCTGAGCCCACATGCACAGCAGGAAGCCTGAGCACAGTGTGCTGCCTTGGAGCAGCCAGCTGCTAATGGGCAGCTCACAGCCAGCTGTACAAACCTGAACAAAAGCCAGGGAAAGGAGCTGCTGAGTTTAATCCTGCACCTCTTGTGGGGCACAGCTGATACTCACCAGTGCTGGGGAGCAGTGGTTTATCCAGCCATGCCAGAGAGCATTTCCAAATGCCCTCTTTAGCCAGCATGCTCTCCATGGTTCCTCCTGCTGTTCAGAGCACAGGATGGATCTGAGAGCCAGGTACCTCTCTGCCCTGCCCCTTCTCTTT